GAGGCCAGGTGTGGTGCACACACCTGGAATCTCAGCACTTGGGAGGCTGAGGCAGCAGACGTGAGTTCAAACCACCCAGGGCTACATCGCTAGCCTGAGGTAAGCCTGGACTAGAATGAGAATGTCTCAAAAAAAAAAAAAAAAAAAAAAAAAAAAAAAAAATCAAGCAAAACAACGGTGGTTCTAAGACTGGCTGCCAAGAGGGGGCTATGGCTGCTGGGGAGCAGATAGCGCTGAGAGAGCCATGTGCAGCGGCTGCTGACCCTGCTAATCAGCTGTGACATCACATAAATAAACGGAACAACTTGGTTAGTGGGGGAGCTGGTGGGCAGCAGCTAGCAAGGTGCCAGCGAGGGCTGTGTTCTAGCAGGGGACTCGGGGTGCAGAGGCCGGAAGGCCTCTCTCTGTCTTGCTGGACTTATGGGCAGGGCTAGAGCACCACCTCTGCAGACAGCATCGCTGCATGCTGTGCGCTGGGGGAGCCAGGAGGTGGGAAGACAGAGCCCCTCCTGGCAGGGGCAGCCTCACCCACCAGCCTGGGAAGGGCTCTGCTGCTGCTGCTGCTGCTTGCCCACCCTCCTCCTCCTCCTCCTCCTCCCCTTCCTTTTTCTGTCCTTTTTTCCCATTGAGGGCGGAGCCTCACACTCATGCATGGCACTTTCTTCTCTCTGGTTTGAAACCTTGCCTTGGGTCGGCTGCACTGTAGCAACGGTTGTGGATCCTAGGTGCGGAAGACAGAAATCCCCACCACCACGCTGTGGGCCACTGACCTCATTTAACAGAAGGGGCACCAGAGCTGGTAGAGGTGAGGGGCTGGCCTAGGTCAGCAGGAGCTGCCGGGAGTGGCACTCATGACCCCAGCTCTGCCCTCCAGGAGCTCCTACAGCACCCGAGCCCTCCTCTACTTTGGGGACCTTCCTTGGTTCCAGGCTCATGCTGCAGGGACGTGGGTCACAGGGACCCAGGACCGATCACCATCCTGTAGCTGGGCCACTATCCCACATTCTGTCCTTATGGACATCCTGCAGGGCCCCCAGGGGTACAGTCAGCCAGATGCACTCCTGGGCTGACGTCCCAGCCCAGAATCCCAGGGGTAGCTGTACCATGCCCTGCAGCCCTGGGCAGCCATTCTACCTGCTGGCCTCACTATCCAGATCTGAGGACCCCAAGTGTTGCCCATGAAAAGGGTACACAGAGCCACCTCCCTTTCCTGGACCTCAAATAAAACTGGAAGGCCCTTGCGTTAGAATTCAGACTCCTCAACCAGAAAGGGACTCCTCCCTGCAGTGCCTGCAGCCCTCAATCAGAAACAGGCAGGGCCTGAGAGATCCAGGTCCAGGAACTTGGGGGCACAAGGCTACACACCAAGCACAGCGCAACAGGAACCCAGAGCTCTGTGTGTCTGGTCTGTTCCCAACAAGGCGTGGCCTGCCCCACTGTCCACCCTGAGCTGGTTTTGAATTTGGAGCCATGGAAGACAGGCCCTGGGCTGGGAGGCAGACCGGATGCAGCAGAGCGGTTCATCTCCAGGCCAGCCTGTCCTGGGCCAGGGGCACCAGCCCCCACCTGTTGGGCAGATGCTCCTCCCTTCCAGAAGCCTGCAGGGCCCTCTTGGCCTCCAGAACCCTGGGGTGTCTTCTACCACTGGCCTTTGTGGTAGGACTGTCAATCTCCACCACTGGGGAAAGGGGGACCAGAGAGGCTGCTGGATCCTGGAGGCCCCTGCGTGAATCTCCTGCCCCAGACTCCTGGGTGCTGCCCTGCAGGCCCTGCTCAGAGCCTCACACTGCCTCTTCTCCCTCCCACAGCACTTACAGAACCCTGCCAACTTCCACAATGCTGCCACGGAGCTGCTGGACTGGTGTGGGGACCCGCGTGCGTTCCAGAGGCCCTTTGAGCAGAGCCTGATGGGCTGCCTCACGGTGAGTGGTCACCCCAAGCACCCCCATGAGAGAGGGTCCCCCATGCTGTGGGAGGCAGGTGTCGCCCCCACACTGGGAGCCAGGGCTCGATGCTAAGCAAAGCAGCAAACCTCAAGAAGGGTTTTCGGCCACGTTTTGGCATTAATTCATCCACTTACTAAACATTTATTGAGCTCTCTTACTGTCATCCATCCACTCGTGGAAGCGTTTATTGAGCCCCTGTTACACTCGCCCATCTAACCAAATAAACACTGACCGATCTGTGTTTATCATGTGAGATCTCCTCTGCAAAATGAAACCCAGGGAACCAAAGATGAGAAAGACTTGTCCAGGCCTGATGTCCTCGTAGCCTGGGCGTCGGATGCATAAAGAGATGACCAAGAAATTCACATATGAAATACAGGAGGGCATGGGCTGGGGAGATAGCTCAGCAGTCTAAGTGTCTGCCTGGCAATTGCAATGACCCAATTTTGATTCCCAATACCTCATGCCACTTGGGCCCCAGAACCCCAGGTATGTTGTACAGGCCACTGAAACTGGGTATGGTGGTGCGCGCCTGTAATCCCAGCGCTGAGGAGGCTTAGACAGGAGGATCACTACAAATCCAAGCTGCGTAGCGAGACCCTGTATCAAATGAATAAATAAATAAATGATTTTTTAAAAATTTTAAAGAATACAAAGGGAGTGAGGAGAGAGGCATCCCTCAGCTGCCTGGGCCCAGTTGGGCACGGAGCAACGTAGACATCTGGAGATTTTGCCAAGCTGCTTTGTGCAGGGCATGCAAACTCCTGATGTCCAAGAGCCCAGGGCAGCAGGTGAGGCTCTGGGATGTGCCCTGGACTGGGACCAGAGCCAGCGGCACAATTTACCAGGCTTCAGGGAGCCACGTGGAAGTTGCTCACAGCTTGAGTGTGACCCCTTCCTTGTGGGCTACACTCCTAAATGAGAGGACCCTCTTGCTGGGAGCCTGCCCATCCTGGAGCTCAGGAACAGGAGCTCCGGGGGAAGCCTGGGTGGGCAGGAGCCGTGTCCAAGGGCACTGTGTTTCTTGCAAAGCTCCTGACAGGAAGCAGTGGTGAGAGTACCTCGGGCAATTGCCCCAAAGCCTCCGTCGAAGGTGAGAGTAACCTGGCCCTGGATGTGCATCTTGCTGAACTGAACTGGGCCCCACATAAGGTCGGCCTGCACCCTTCCACACTCTGTAGAGAATGCAGGGGCTGGACTGACCCCCAGGCCCACAGCCTTCGGAGGGGCCAGGGTTCCAGTCGAGGCTCATCTGTCTCCGAGCAGATGCTCTTGGTCTCTGGGATGCTGCCGCCCAGGCCCTGCTGGGGGTCCCTGTGAATGGAAGCTGACACCATCTGGCGCCCTCGGGTCATCCGTCATCGGGTGAAATCAGGTGGCCACCTGCAGGGCCCTGACTTCCCCATCCCCCAGCTCTCGGGAGCCCCTCCCCTCCCCCAACTGCCTTAATCCTCTTTGTGGGATCTGGGTTCATCCTAAGCCCTGTGGACAGGGACAGATGTTACCCAAGGCTCCTTGCTCTCACCCTAGCTGCCAGCAGCTGCAGGGCAGGAGGAGGTAGGGACCATGCACGACATGTGGCCCCACAGGCTACCTCTGTGCGCCCCAAGCCTGGCGCTGCTTAGAACACAGGACTTGAGTCTGAAGGGCACAGACACTCAGGCCAGCCTGGAAACAGTAACAGGCCCTGCCTCGCCCTGTGGCTAAGCCATTCATTCAACAAACGTTCCCTGAGTCCCTGCCTTGGGCCTGCTCTGCATTCTCTGAAAAAGCCTCCCTTATAGTCAGGAGAAGTAAATAGGCCACACCAGGTTGGGAAAATTGTCCCACGCTGACCTCCTTAGGAGGAGTAGGGAGGGTGCTTCAGACAGAAGGAACAGCATGTGCAAAGGCCCTGAGGCCAGAGCTCGAGCAGGGGTGGGGCCAGCGGGAAGGGGAAGAAGGAAGTAGGAAGAGCTCAGTGGCCTTTGGGCCCCTGCAGGAGCGCCTGGGTGTGAGCAGTGGGGTAAGCAGCGGGTGTGGGATGGGTTCCTGTAGGGCAGGAGCTGTGAGGGGCTTGCCTTTGGGTGGGGATGATGGCAGCTCCCTGGAGGGTGCCAGGGACAGAGGCATAGGGTGCACTCCCTGCCTCCCCTCCCAGGGTCCCCGTGTGGCTGCTGCTGGCACTTGTGAGGAGGTTGCCCTCCGGCACCCGAGGTTGGTGGCAGGCTGGGAATGTGTCACCACCCCACTTCCTAGCTAGGAGCAGGAGCAGTAGCCCCAGCCTGGGCTCTGGGCTCTGCTGTCCCCCACCCCAGTCCCTCCAGCAGCCCTGCTCTGCCCTGCAGGAGTCCCAGGTCCCTGTGGCCCAGGGTGGGCCCCTCCCCTCCCCAGCAGCCTGGACCCACGTTGCCCCAGCCCCCAGTGACCCTGAGGAGCATGCTCCAGATCCTGCTGGATCTGCCTGGCTCTGAGGAGAGAGGTTAGAAAGCCCTGAGCTGTGGGCAGCTCATGAGCACATTTTTGCCACAGAGTCCAAAGCAGCTCAGGCATGGGGTAACACCAGCCACCCTCCCTCACACGCTGGATGGCACTGGGAGCCCTCCCATCCCTCCCTCCTCCAGCAGCAGGGCTGAGCCACTGCTCCGGGTTCCCTGCTTATGGTGACCGTCATGATCTGCTGCTGGTGTCCCCTGGGGGGATGTCCTTGGTGACATGTCCAGGCAACAGAAAGGAAGGAGGCCCAGAGCCCAGCCAACCTACTGGGTCCTGGCTGGTCATCCTGGCAAGGAGTGTTTTGTACCCATTTCACAGAAGAAGAGAATGAGGCCTAGAGAGGTGAGGTGAGGTGGAATAACTGGCAAGTGAGAGCAATAGACCCCAGCCTCATACCTGACTTCAGAGCAGTCACCAGTGCCTGTCCTCACATCCACTCTCTCTGCACCCACATGCTGAAGAGAGGTAGCAGGGTAGGAAATAAGGGTTCTGCCCTGAGGGACCGGAGTGTAGCTGTGTGGACAGAACTGGGGCCTAAGGAGATTCAGCCCACTGTGCCTCTCTGCAGAGATGGAGGACATCCTGACCCCTTTATGGAAGAGAAATCCAAGGCTCAGAGAGGTTAAGTAACTTCCCAAGGGTTGCACAGCATGGGGTGGAGCAAGATGGGAGCACAAGTGTGTCCTGATTTTCCTCACTGCAGCCCCCTGCCCAGTGGCTCACCCCTTTTCAGGGCAGTGCCCCTTCCAGGGGGTGCATGTGACTGGCCTACCACAGGAACCCAAGCAGGTCTCCCCTCTCATATCTGTATGGCATGATTATCCTGGGACATGAGCACTGCACCCCCGACCTGTCAGTGCCCAGGACCAGGGTATTGAGGGAGGGGTCATCATTCCCCCAGGAGTCCCTCCGGGTGTCGTCTTGGGAACACTGTCTCTGAGCCTGGCTGCCAGATACAACCTACTCACAGGGCTTTCCTGGGGTCCTTGGCCTGGGCGACGGAAGCCACAGCACATAAATGCTCCAGGGTCACTTTGAGGCTGCCTGCCCTCTGCGTGCAGGGGCCCAGGGGCGTGGCCACGGCAGGTGTGTGTTCTGTCCCCACTCTGCAGCCTGTGCACAGCCCCAACCCCTCTTGCTCAATGCAGCCAGTATTGTTCTTAGAACCAGAGCAACTGGATGAGCCAGAACTGGCCAAACCTTTGCCTTCCTGCCCTGACCCAGGCCCCCAGGGTCCTTCCTGGAGGTTGGCTGCTGTGGCCTTAACCCTTTAAGGGTCAGTCAAGAGGTCCCGCTCCAGAGAGAGCCGAGGCTTTGCAGCCAGGCTGCCTGGGACCCTCTGGTTTGCGGCTGCCAGACTGTGGGCGGAGCCCCTCCTCAGCACCCTTCTCTGGAAGGGAGCCCAGCTGTGGGACCTGGCATCCACTCATGGCAGAAGCTAACTGAGCCCTCCTGCCGGGCAGCGCGCATTCTCCGCATTCTGCCCAAAGGCAGCCTTCATGCTGCACGCGTCCCAACAAGGCTGCACAGCTCTCTCCCTTGAGACTGTCCCGAGGCCACCCCCACCCCAGGGCTCCAGAGGCACTGTTGCACCCTGTGACCTCCTGCCCCGGGTCTTCCTTGGCCCTGCGGGCAGTAGCTGCCTGTGGCCTTGAAATCCTGCACAGGCCAGCAAGTTAGGAACCTTGGTCTTTCTGCTTAAACACCTCTACTTGGGGTGGCCCAGGGACTCGGGTACACACCAGGCCCGAAAGAACTTATTGGAAAGAAACAGGGATATATTCTAGACCAGGCTTCCATTTGCAGCAGGGAAGCTGGGCAGGCATTGAAGAGTGACAGTGACCCTCTCACCCAGCCTGGCTCAGACACTGCCCCACACAGAGGTCCCCAGGAGAGGGGTCCCCAGCCTCCCTCCTGGAAACACTGCAGGCTGGGTCTTCCCAACCCTGTTCAGCCTTCGTGCCCTAATTGCAGACCCCTGAAGCTGGGAACAGAGTGGAGAGCCATTCTGAAAGGCCCAGGCCCAGGCCAGAGCTTCCGGTGGCCTGAGCTCCTCAGAGGCCGCAGCTGCGCCACACATGGGAGGCCTTTCTCACTCAGCCATGGCCAGTCCCGCTGCTCTGCTCTGCCCAGCACCTCCTCTTCCCTGGGCCCTTCCTTCTTAATAAGGAAACCTAATCGGGCTGCTGTTAGTGAGGAAGGCAGGCAGAAGGGAGCAGACCTGGCAGTCACAGGACACCTGGGAATGGGCAAGGTCGGAGCGAAGCCAGGTGCGCCAGAGCCTCCAGAGCCCGGTGGGCCCCAGGCGCACCCCAGTTCCACAGTGCACTCCACTCGGGATGGGACCTGACAGCCCTCCCGCTGGAAATGGGCACAGTCTCCAGGGACAAGGGCACAGGAGTCCCGCTTGTGCCACTCCCAGACTCAGGCTGGGAACAGATACCAGCTGAGCACTGGAGTCCTGCATTTCTAGGGCATAGAGCCGAGTACAGAGTAACATGAGGGGCCTTGCCCAGCCAGTTCCCTTGTAGCAATCTCGGGAGGCTCCGTCCCATAGTTCCTGTGTGACGCAGGGGCTACAGATGACAGGGACAGTACGTGGAGGCCAGAGCCTGCCTTTTTTTTTTTTTTAATATTTATTTATTTATTTGTGCCTTTTTTTTTTTTTTGAGACAAGGTCACACTATATAGTTTATTCTGCCTTCTGCTTAGGCTGGCCTCCAACTCATGATTTGCTGGCCCCCAACTCATGATTCGCCGGCCCAGCCTCTGTTAGTAGCACAAGTATGCCACCATGCCCCACAAGAGCCTGCATTTTTATTATCATTAGTATTATTATTGTTATTGTTGTTGTTGTTGTTATTATTATTATTGTGTGTCTGTGTTTTGGGAAAAGGGTCTTACTATGTAGTTCAGGCTGGTTTTGCTTTTAAACTCACTCTGTAGCCCATGTTGGCCTTGAACTTGTGGCGATCCTCCTGCCTTGGCATCCCGCATGCTGGGCTTACAGGCATGAGCTGCCACGCCTGGCTTACGTTTCTTAAATGCAAGCACCCCCACAGTGGTACTGTGGAACTCAGGAGGGCAGGAAGAGTTCCTGGAGCCCAGGACCTGGGACGTACCTGACTCCCTGGATCATCCTGTCCTAAAAGTGGAGCCAGGGTGTCCCTAGTGGACCACTACAAGGGGCTTGGGAGCCAGCTGAGTAGGATCCCAGCACTGCCTGGCCTTGAGGACCTGCTCTTGCCCACCCTGTGCACCCACTTCACCTGGGACCCGGGCTTGCTGGTCTATGACGCCAAAGCTATCATGTGCAGCAGCTCACCTGTGCTTCCCCTGTGGCAGGTGGTCAGTCGAGTGGCAGCCCAGCAAGGCTTCGACCTGGACCTCGGCTACAGACTGCTGGCTGTGTGTGCTGCAAACCGAGACAAGTTCACTCCCAAGTCTGCCGGTGAGTGTCTGTGGCATGCTCTGCAGGTGCCGTCGGGAGGTGGGGAGTGGAATTGGATGCAAAACTGCCGCGGTCGGTCGTGCCTTGGTTGATCTGTGCATGTGGTGTGTGTGAGCCTCCTTGAGGGAGTCGCCCAGCCTCTGGGGGCACTGCAGGGCCACCAAGGGGCCCTGTGCTGTGGCAGGGGTGCATCATTGCTCTGGGATGGTCTTCCTTGGCCGGATGAAAAACCTGAGGCTCTAAGAAGCAAAAAAGCTATATCCTAGGGTCACAGGGCTGGACTCCAGGGTCAGGATTCTGGACCCTCATTTCTCACTGTATTCATTCATTCATTCATTAAAAAAAAATATTTAAAACAAAACACAAGAGCCAGGCACAGTAGTGCATGCCAGTAATCCCAGCACTTAGGAAGCTGAGATAGGAGGATGGCTTCAAATTTGAGGCCAACTTGGACTACATAATGAGTTCAAGGCCAGCCTGGACAGCATAGCCAGACCATCTCAAACAACGAAAACCACACACACACACAAAATTAAAACAAAAATGCATGACCGTGCATTCTGGGTTCCTAATAATACAGCTTGTTCTCCAGTGTGTTTCTGTCATCGCATAGAGTGTGGGGGTCACCCAGAGAGCCAGGCAGCTTTCTGTCTCATGAGCTTTAAGTACATTAACGATACGATCTGACATTGGCCACCAGCCCCATCAGCTTGAAACCAGACAGACCTGTGACCCATCTAGCCTGACCGCTGCTCCGCTGCTCAGTGTGTGGCCTCAGTGTTTCTCCTCGGCAAGGCAGGCAGGCTCATGGGACCTGTCTTGCAGTGGTCATCATGACTCTAGAAGTAGATAAAGTGCTGACACCGTGTGTCTGGGTGGCGTTAGCATTTTTTATTGATTAAAAACAAAATAGTTGAAAAAGGAAACACATGCAAAAACAGTATGTCCCCTGTGTAACAAGAAACGAGACGTTGTCGCCAAACTCACCGGTTCTTTGTAGCGTGTCTGGGGTGGGCTTCTGGAATGGCCTACGGGACATCCCACAGTGCACATCCGTAAGTCCATTCTGAATGTGGTCTGTGCCCTCTGCCACGTGGGCTTCCGGCCCGCACTCCTGCATCGTGCTGTACTTCAGAAAAGGTGTGCGAGGGCCTCATGAGCCCGAAGCTGGCACCCTTGCCCCCCTCACCTGTGCTGGGACAGTGCCGTTGTGTGGGACTGTCTGCTAGAAACCAGCCTTGGGATCTCACAGGGACCGTGTGCACACCTGTTAAAAAAAAAAAAATCTCAATTTATCAAAGAAACGCATCTCTCGTGTGCATCCATTCTGTGCAGAAGCCAGCCAGAGCTGCAGGTCAGAGGAACCACCCAGGCAGGGTCCTGGCTCCAGAAACCGAGGGTCTGGGGAGGGCTCGGCACGCACAGTCTTCTCCTAAGGGAGCAGATGGAATCTGTTCTAGGCCTTCGGTCCCTACCATAGCAGCCATGGGCCACGTGTCAAAGGAATGAGCATGGCTAGTCCCCACTTGGCTTTATTTATGAAAACAAATGTTGGCCTATAGCAGTGTGACCCCAGGCTAGAAGAAGAAAAAAAGTTCATCCAATGATTTCAGGTGTATATTTGATAGGGGACATGTGTATAAGCTGAGGCTGCGCTTAGCCCATGAAGGAAAGGTCAGGGATGTCATCGGGTGTTGGGGGGACACAGAACCACCCAGGTAGGTATCCAAAGGTCAGGAAAGATTTGAGTAGGTGAAGAGGAAGATAAGCTTCCTTCTCAGGTTGAAGGAGCAGCGTGTGCAAAGGTCCCAGGATGGGAATGGAGCATGGTTTTGTGTCAGAACTAAACTTTGCAGCCCAGGGGCGATACATAGCCAAGATGAGGCAGGTGAGCCCAGCAGTGACTGAACACGCAGGGCCTGCCTTGAAGATTGCACTACAGTCTTTGTCTTGAGTCTAATGGAAGCATGCTTAGCTTCTTGGTTTACAGACCTCTCCTGCTACCAAAGAGAGGCCTGCATGGCGGCCTGGGTAGGTGGGGGCAGCTGGCAGATGCCTGGGAAGATGAGGGTGTATGACAAGAGCCAGACCAGGAAAGCAGAAGTGGAGTGGGGGTGAGGGGGACAGGGAATCTAAGAGGCCAACCTGGGCTGGAGGCCGCCGTGGTAGCGGGCTTCTTTTAGCATGCTTGCGCCCTAGAGTTCTGTCCATGCACAGCCAAGGAAGATAGAAGGCCAAGAAGAAGCACCACCTGCTCCCCTGCAGAGGAGGGAGGCTGGGGCCCCTTATCCAGCAGCACATGGGACTTGCCTGAGGTCACAGTCGTACACAGTTGGGTTGGACTTGGGCAGCCTCCTGAGCCGGGCAGAGAGAGGCTGGATCAGCCCACTGTGTGACAGTTCCTCCAGGGCTGGCTGGGTCCTAGACTGCAGCCTCTTTCCTGGCCCAGGGTCTGGAAGCTCTCTCCAGCCAGGGCCCCATGCCCCTCTACGGGCCTCCCTATGCCACTTACCCCATATCCCTTCATCTCAGTAACCTGCACTGGCGCTGCAGGACGTTGCCCCCAGCCTCCCTGGCAGCCCTCGCCCTCCTGAGTCAGCCACCCTGTCCTCCCTCCCATCTCCCTCTCTGTCCCAGCACCTGTTCTGCCAGACTCACCTGTCCGGTCTTCCCTCTCCCTCTCCCCTATGGGTCTCTGGCATCTTCTCCCTTGTGTGTCCCTCCCTTATTGCCCTTGTCCTTGTTCAGCTTCCTGCTTGTCTCTCTGCCTTTCTGGGTTTCTCCCTGTGCAGAATGCATGTAGTTGTGCACACATGCATGCATGGCTGTGTGTGTGTGTGGTGTATGCTTGCTGGTAGTGGGGGATGTGGCCATGGAGTGTGTGGCCATATGTGTGTGGGTTGTCTGGTGTATCCGGCTGCGTGTGTGGTGTGTGTACATGAGCATGTCTGGATGTGTGTAGAGTTGGTGTGTATGGCTGTGTGGAGTCGCAGTTCTTATGTACATGCCCTACACGTGCATGACTGGGTGCATAACTGGGGTCTGTGGCTTGGATATGTGTGACTGTGTGTGGCAAGTGTGGCTGTGTGCAGTAGTGGCTTGTGTGTGTGTGTGTGTGTGTGTGTGTGACTATGTGGTGTGTGGTTGTGTGGGATGAGGGCTTTGTATGCGGTGGTTCTGTGTGTGATGTGGGCTCTGGGCTATGAGGCTGTGGAGTGTGGGCTTGAGGCATGTGCGGCTGTTCCCAGGCAGTGTGGGCAGGTGTGTGCATGCTGGCCAGGCCAGTGTGGTGCTGCCTGCCCTGTGCCTGTGTGCCCATGGGTGTCCCTCGCCCCTCCCTCCCTTCCTACCCGCCCCCTCCTCATCTGTTGCTGTGGGCTAGGGCGGGGGGGGGGGATGAGATCACGGGGCGGAGAGGAGCTTTGTCAGGCGAGCTGGCTGTGCGGTGGCCATGCGCTCACAGAGCTGTGCTGGGCGGCGCAGGGCGGTGCCGTGTGTGCCGCGTGTGTGCACACGAGCTGGAGCTGGGCGGTGCGGAGCTAAGCCCAGCCAGACGCCGCGCGAGCAGGCGGCTCCACGTGGGGCCCTTGGTGCCCAGCCCCCAGCTCTTTGTTCTGGTGCAGCCTTTAGCCTTTGCGCGCGCACGGGAGCCCGAGAGCACGCGCACGGAGCCGGCAGCCTCCACCCCCTCATCCCCGAAGGTCACCTGCCCAGCCCCTAGCACAGTGATGCCTCCCCACTTCTGCATAGCATGCCCGTCCCACCACCACATGCCAGCTCAGCGACTTGGCAGGCACTGCTGAAATGTCGGCTCTTCAGCACCCAGCTGTCCACGCCTACTGGCTAGGTGGGCGCAGAGCACCAGGCGGTGGCTGTCTCTGCGGTCCCTGGGAGCCTGTGTGAGCCTCAGCCATGTCCCACACTTGAATAAATCTGCACCCATTCACCTGGCCCCTGGCAGCAGCCAGTGCAAATAGAAGTAGAATAAGGGGTGCCAACATCCAGAAGTAGCAGGGAGCCAGGCAGGGAACACCCATCCAGGTCAGGTAGGACCCCGAGTGCCTCCTGGGTTTCTAGTGTCCTGCCTGTCTCCCTGAGGCAGTGACAGCTGCCATGTCCCACTACTGATGGCAAGGTGGAAATGTGGACAGGTTTGGGAGGGATGGGGCTTCCCAAGGCTGTCCAGAGAGGAGGCAGCCAGATTTGGTCCTCCGGAAGGGACCACAGAGCTTGGGAGAATGGTCCTGGCAGGAAGAGGCTGCCTGAGGACCCTGCCCCCCACACCAAGTGGCTGCATCCTTAGGGGCAGGCTGAGATGTGTCAGTCAGAGCTCAGAGTAGCTACCCTGGGCTGAATGTAGCCTACAGGCAGCTCCGGTCAGACCGCCAGGTGGCTTAGACACTCTGGGAGATGGCACTGTCTTTGGGTGGCAGCCTTGGGCTCCAGTTCCTCACCAGTGACTCCCTCCTGGGACAAGGACCACCGTGCCCTGCCCCCACCCTCCCTGTCCTCTTCCACACCACACTTGGGAGCCAGTCTGGTCACCCTCTGTTCTAAGCACATGGCCGGTGTGAAAGCCCACACAAAGTGGCTTTCTGATTCTGTCCCTTAATGTCTGCTCAGATTGGTTCCCTGATGTGCCTGGGGGGTCGGGTGTCAGCAGATCATCAGAGAGGACTGAAACAAGCCCAGGGCCTGGCCACACAGGGGGGGAGCAAACCGAGAGTGTGGGTGCCCTTGCCTCCCCAATCTATAGCCTGTTGGTCCCTCAGTCATGCAGGATTCTGCCATAGCTTGTGTGGCAGCCCTGACAGATCCCAGGGGCCTTTGTCGGAGCCCTAGGTAGGGACAAAGACAGCCACCCAGGTCCTCTCTACCTTGCCTACCCTGGACTCCATAAGCCAGGGTAGAGCAGGAAGACATCAACCCTTCCTCTTCTCAGGTCTTTGGAAACAAATCTTGCCCACACCTAGCTGATGGGGAGTTCCCACACCCCCATG